CCCCGATGTGGAAGAGAAGAGAAAAATGATGAACGGGTGTCTTTCCTTTCCCAATGGCGGAAGGGGAAGCTGGCGAAATCCAAGACAAGGACAAATAGGGTAGGTCAGAAACCAGCCGCGGATTGATTGGTTATTTAGGGTTTCCGTGCGCTTCAATAAGTTTGGACCTCGGATCCGGAAGTCTAGTGCCAGCTATACCCCGAAGTGACTAGTGTGAGATCCGGCGCAGACCTACACGTCAGCTTGAGGGGTTCTCCTTTTTAGTTTTATCCCTCAGCGGAGTGCCGCCCCAGCAGGGACAAACTCTAAGCCTTCGACATGAGTGGTAGCATATAACGCACGTACTAGAGTTTGTGCGTTTGGAAGGGGAAGGGCGGGTTTGTTAAGGCTCTGCTGCGGAAATCGCCTGATATTGGTCGGGTGGGTGATTGGCCGGCGCGGCGGTGCGGATGACTTCCGTTGCGTGCGCGACCGAAGGGCGTGCGTTCGTGCGTGTGCGCGTATGCGGAAGTGCTTGTTACGCCACACAACTGCGTGGTTCGACCCAATAACGACTCGATGCACATGGGACGCAAGGCACGCACAACTAGCAGAACAGTACGCATTTTAAATAATACATTCTAAAAAATGTAACTAACACTTTATAATAAAATATAGTAAATGGTAATAAAATATAGTAGTAATGTAATAAATATAATGAATAATAGTAAATGTAATAATCTGTAATAATGTTTAATGAAAATGGATAATAAATATTATAAAATAAATAATATGTAAAATATGCTGTTTGAAAATAACATATTCTGAAAGAAAACAGTGATCTAAGATTCTCCGCCAGATCGAACAATTACAAGTGATTAAAAAAGAACCGTTTTTAACTTAAGTCATTTCAATAATTAAATTTGTTCAAAGGATTGATATCCCCAAACGGGATTTTAACCCGGGCCTCCTGGTTTACGCTCAGATACTGTAGATGCCATTGCTCTACACGTCCAGATGCCCTTGCGTCCAATAAGACGGCAAGAAAGGTAACCATTAAGCCTTTGCATATTATGAGATGAAGTAAAGACTACAATAAGTTTATTAAATATAAATTGATTTTATTAATGAAAATAATACTCCAAAGATAATGCAATTGGACGCTTTCTAATGGATAATTTGCGGCCAGATTTTTATAATTAATAATAGTATTTACAGAAAATCAGGAAGAAATGTGTGACGCCTAGTTGATGTTACCCATAGATTATGAAATTGTCGGAAGGGTTCAAAAATTTAACCTACCAATATAAGAGAAGTGTGATTAGGAGCGGTGGGTTGTCAGTGTTGACAAACAACCGCACGCGGCTGATGGTTCTTTGTTGCCTATTTTTTCACGTGCACTGTCGGTTATTGCGAATGTGCTGAGTTTTTCTTGAAACAGAATTATAGAGAATAACATGTCTTACACAAAAAAAAATCATAGTTTTGAAATTAACGCTACAATTAGAAACCAACAATTTTCGTGTGAAAATATGTGACGTGGCAAGCTCATGGTTTGTAGAAGATGAGCTACACGGGGCAGGAAACGGTGAGTGACAATTCCTCATGTCCATTGAAAGGTTTTTAAAAAACGTTATTGAATTCTCAAGAATGCTAGAAGGTGACGGCAAATCGACCTCTAATTAAACAATTAGGTGTATTGTTCATGTTTCAGAGTACTTGTTTGCATTATTTTGTTTGTTACTGACAGAGCAGGCAATTAAATGTTAGCAGTTCTCAAAGACGGTAAAGTAGGTATGTATATCGTAAAATGGAATACATAAATATTTAGCACGGTGTCGATTAGTTTCCTTAATTCATCTTCCTTGTTTAATCCGTAAAACTCTGATCGCATCCCATGCTCGCTGAGCAGGGTACGTTACTGTGCTGTATGTGAGTTTGTTCTCTTATGGAGGTAATATGAAAAGGCAAACGGTGCCGAGTTAACATCTAGATAATTAGTAAATAAATCATTAAAATTAGGTAAAAAAAGTCTTATATGTACCACGGGCGTTACCTGCTTTTAATAATCTCGGTCATTAGAACCTTTGTAATGCCCTTGGTGAATAAATATTGTGTATTTGCAATACACGCTTCAAATGGCGAATAAGTATTATGATTACTAGAAAAGATATTTCTTATTTATATAGGATTTTTTTATAAAGTGGCATTGCGAAATGTATTGGATGACACCAGGACCAAGACAAATACTCGGATTTGATTATAAAATTCGGTTAACGCCTCGGTTTACAAACTTCAACTGCGTTTTTTATTTGGTTAGTTTATTTTTCGGACAAACAAACTGATGTGGTCATTAATCCCGTTAGTGTAGAGAACGTTTTTACTTTGCCGTATACATACGTATATACGGAGTAATACACGTAGTATAGGAAAAGTTCGGTAATGCTGCGGAAAATCGATATCATTATTTCAACGGAAATACACGTTTTGGGGTTCCCTAATATCGAAGAAGTATTTTGTTTTCAAAACGTCCGCCAATCCATCTGCCTGTCCGTCCGTCTGTATATGTGAACAACACTAGCACATAAACCATGCATAGGATGTTTTCCAAATTGCAGAAAGCCCTGTCCATTTGATATAAGTCGAAGCCCTGCGATTTTAAAAATCATTTATTAGTTTTCGGGGTACTTTACGTGAAGCCTTTGGGACATTTTCAACATTTTTTAAAAATTGCCTCTAAATTTTTTCCGTAAATTTCTTATAAGAATAGAGTAGAGTAAAACACACTTATAAATGTGGCATATGTCCGATTTTCACGGTTAACTCCAAATTTTCGAAAATTTTAAACGTTTGATTTTTTTCAGGATCTTCTACAACAGAATGACTGATAGACATTTTTTGCTTCAAATAAAATTTGTTATCCATAATTTGTTCTTCGATTAAGGTGATCTACATTTCTTTGAAAATTTTAGTCGTTTTCGCGCAATATTGCGTGCAATTTAAATAAATTACAAAAATATGATTTTTTTGACTTGTCTTTCACGTCGTTAATATTAGCAGAAATTTGCTCACATTATTATATTTATGAGTACATGTGTTTTAAGAAATGTCACATAAAGCTTCTCAACAACTCAACCGTTTTCTGTCAAAACTAGCTCGAAATTTCGCAATTTCAGAAACGATCAAACATCTTTCTCTCAAAAAGGCACCAATTTTTTTTCTTCAAACTTTTCGAACGAAAAGTGCTAATTGTACTTATTATTGCTTAAAATTGCTAATTATGATGTAAAGTTCATGTCGGGGTATTTTTTGTTTTTTAAAAAATTACCCAAATGTATTTTTTTAAATATCTTTCCTGCCTGTATTATGCACATTTCAAGTAATTAGTAAGCACTATTGTATTTGTGAGTAAATGTGCTTCAAATGGCTTCTAATGGAGCTTTTCGGCAACTCAAAACTTTTCTGAGAAAAAGTGCTTCAAATTTCGAATGCCGGAACCAGTGCTGGCTCTAAGCTGAACTCAGCGTCCGTTATTTGCTTTATATCGGCCTTAGACGTTAATCCCCTCCCCCCTGGCTGTGTTGCAGGTGGTGCGCGCCACTCACAGAAGACGAGGTCGTAGTCGGCGGTGGTGGTCTGGATGAAGCCGCCGTCCGTGCTCCAGTCCATCTGCGTGAGCGGCTGCGAGCCGCGGATCTTGTTCGACTTCTTGTAGGAGAAGCCGTCTCTGCTCACCCGGAACAGGTAGATGCTCCCGTTTTGCGAACCCACGGCGATTGTGTCTCCGCCTGGAAAGGGCGTCGGGTAGAAATGACGCGGGGAGAGAAGAATTGTCTGTAGCGATGGTAGAATTTAGCATTTCAATTTTAAACGAATTACATTTTGAAAACAGGGCTATACCATTTTATGGCATTATAAAAATGAAGATTTAGAATTTTAGAACGTGTGTTGGGAAAATTATTATTAAGGGAGGACACTTAGAGTTAAGAGATACTTTGATACTATTTTTTTTCTCATTAAAATTAGAAATTTAGGGAACCTAATGTGATATATTTCGCTGTTTGTGCAGTTCAATAAAAATAAAAGCGAAAAATGGTTAGACGTAACGGGTATGCCGTAAGCGCCATGTGCCTTCTTTCTTTCCGAGACCTTCTCCGCACAACGAATTCAGGAGATAGAGACCTCTTGAGATGGTCCTGAGCGCTCAGGCTTTCAGGATCAGTTTTTTAAAATTGTTTTTATTCTGCTTTTACTTAACTTTGTAAATTAAATCATGGTTATAAATCAATAGTCACGGCTCTCCAATTATGTTTTGAAACATCGATGTGATGTTGTCGATGTTGCATCCCTAATTAGAGAATAGATTTTGCATTTTATCGCAGATTGAAAACCTTGAGAAATATTCTACATAGATTATCAAACGTAGAATTACTATTTTTAGCGTGTATTAACATTTCGCAGTTTTAGCAATTGCTAAAATCTACTATATAATTATCTGCACAAATCGAAAGTGATTGGTACGGTGCAGTTCGGAATATAGGAAGAAAAAATAATTACAAGAAGTGAAATTCATTCCATCGACCTTCGTTTTTTTGTGCATTGGACCCTCATCTATTCAAAATACTTTCTGGAAAGAGGAAAATACGCTGGAAAATGCGATAATAACTCAAAAGTTCACAACAAACTAATGCATCGACTTACGAAAAAAACATCTGCAACTGAAAAATATTCAGTGGGCAAGAAGGGCGGAGGGCGTACCTAGGTTGTAGGCAAAGAGTCTGAAGAGGATGGCAGTGTGTGGGGATGGCAGTGGGTATACCAGAGTTGGAAGCAGGAAAACAGAGGGAAATGGAAGTGGGTGGGCAGGGTGGATGGCGCAGGGCGCACTTGGGTTGTTAGTGGTGCAGCTGAGAGAAATGGCAGTGGGTGGGCAGGGTGAATGGCGCAGGGCGCACCTGGGTTGTTAGTGGTGCATCTGAGGGAAATGGAAGTGGGTGGGATGGCGGGGGGGGGGCGCACCTGGGTTGTAGGCGACGCAGCTGAGCGGGGAGCCGCACACCCGCACCGTGGCCACGGGCTGCCCCGACTCCGCGTTGAGCACGATGAGGTGGCCCTCGGTGCTGCCCGCGGCTAACGCCACGCCGAACGGGTGGAAGGAGAGCGACACCACTTCGTACGCCACCTGCAATGCAATTAGAACGCGACAGAATGTAAAACGAGTTTGATATTGGATAGAGTGTATTAAAAATATTTTTTTGATATTGCATGTTGTTTATTAAAAATATTTCTTTGATATTGAATATTATTTATTACGTTTATAATAAGAAAACATATTAGAATATTGATACAGTGGCCGGTGTGTTGAATTCATATGAAGTTGGCGTTGACACAAGTGTATTTACAGCCTTATATTTAAACCTAAGGATCCGACAGCAGAAATATCCACAACACTCTAACTTGGTATAAGGAGGAAATTGACTTGGCGCTCTATTCACATGTGTGACATACGTGCTTATTGAGACTCAACCATTCGAAATATCCCGATAGTGTATTAGACAAAATATGTTTAAAAGTGTTTTAAGAGCATATTTGCGAAGTTTCGTTGTTTTTTCCCTCACACGATATATATGTATGTACACACACACATTTAGACATATGAAGACTAATGGTTTTTACATGGATATTTTACGTTCAATGTTTTTTATGTTTCCGCTGTTTACTGTCACTGTTGGCGATCCCCAGGCGGTAGGATTGATATTGGCAACCATTCTCCAGTGTTGTTACTTTTTCGCTTATTTTGTTCATGGTAATGTCTGTTCGACTGCAATTTCGATCTTGACTGCACAGAACATTGATTAGAAAATTAAGACGACAGTCAAATTTAAGACAGAATGTACTCCAAACTAATATGGACATGTTTTGTATCACATGAGAACTAGGGCATTTTACTTCGAAATGTTTCATCAGATTTTAAACATGTATGTTTTTTGTCGATGTTTCCATCAACATCGACAACCTTTCGGCGATGTATCGACGTTTCGCCGAAATGTGCCGTGCCTACCTGCGTGGTCCAGACGAGCTTGTTCCGGCGCCAGAGGGCGATGTTCTTGTCGTGGCCACCGGTGGCGAACAGCTCGTCGTCCGGGTGCACCGCCAGCGCCCACAGCTGCCGCGAGTGCCCGAACACGATCTGCGGACGCAATTGGCGCACGCCCTGTTACTACAATTGCCAGAGACCAACAGTTCGTGCTCTTATACAAAATACAGTGGCCATGGGGGGGGGGGGCGACGGAGGACGCGGAGTGGTCGCTCCCGATGGAGGTGGTTATGCTCTCGACGGATAAGGAATAGCCGGATGCGGCGAGCCGTTGGTGCAATAAGTTCCAAGCCGATGGTTCGGACACACCAGACGGTTCATACTTTTACTTATCACTTTGATCCTCCCCAAAATTTAAATCTGTTTCTATTTGTGATATGTTTGTGTCACCTGGAAATTTCATTAGTGTTAAAACAGCAATGTGGTCAGTTTTGTGTTGCTAGAATATCCGTAGTTTAAAACAAATCAACGCATTGTTGGTAGTGATGGAGTAGATTTGGGAAGATTCAATATATTGAAGGGCTGTGTCGTGACGTGGAGTGGATGATAGAACTAGAAAGAAGAGCCGACAGGTGTTAGTGTTGTAAGTGTGCTGCGGTGTTAGAAAATACGACTGTTAGATTTCAGGATAATTATACAGCAAAAACATTAACATTTATACTTTTTATAATAATAATAATTATTTTAAGTATAGAGTATTCATGCGTTTTTATTGTCATTTGTAAAGAATGAAAATTATAGTGTTCTGCCACCAGATTTCGCAAAACATTGTATTTGTACAAAATATAGTAAATATCTAAAACTTTTATGCATCAAACGTTAAATACAGATTCACTGGTACACGCAGGTCTGACTAAAAACTATTTCATTTCTGTCAGTTATTAGTTTATTAGTATCTAAAGAAGCAGTTGCATGTTAGTAAACACGCATGTTATGTCTTTGTTTTGCAAGAATAACTTAATCGTGTGTTCTTGAAATTTGATGAAGCTGAACGTGAGACTTATTTGAAAGAGATATCATCACAAATGAATCAGATACTCGATGAAAACAAAAACCAACATTCTGAGCAATGTGAGACCGGCGTAGTCTCAAATTGTTTTCCGCAAGTTGCTGCGTTGCTTAGATACGTGAGCTTCAAGGACGGAACCAGACAGTATTTCAGAGAACTATTTCAGTTCGAAACCGTTCGAAGTCGTTCAGTAACAGTCTATTTATTTACGAAGAATGGCCTTTTTCTGATTGTGAATTTTTTAGAAATTCCGTTCGCGCCGACAACAATTAATGTGTACTGCACTGGAATAAGTCGCGGTCAATACGCGGTAGTTGTTTAGAAAATTGAGTGATGTCAGAAAATGAGTTGAATTAGGGCGGTGCATGACCTCATTCCGCCCTGATCTAGATCCGTAGTGGTGAGCCAATTTGAAATATACATAAAAGCATAATGACTCGTCTCGGAAACTATAAATGATCTAAATAAATAAACATAAATAAGCATATTATTTATGAATGTAATGCATTCAAAGCTTCACATTTCTGTCGGATTTAAAATTTTGTGTTTGAAATATTTTCCTTATGTGAGCAGTGCGGTTGAAATATTTTGTTTGCGATGTTCGTCAACTGATGCAGATGACTAAGTAATAAGAAAGGTTTGGTACACAGTTTTACCGGTCAATTTCAAACCAGAGCACTCGGGTGTAAATAATGGTAAATGACATTTCCAGGTTTCGAAGGAGTATGCAAGGGAATCAGCGGCTTTGGATATCAAGAGATGTGCAAGTCGCAATGTACGAGCAAATAATCACTGCCGTTTACTTTCCATTCTTCAAATCGCTTGGAATATGGACAGAACTACTCTTCTTAAGAAAGGCCAATAACCCTATTTCGTCCATAAAGGGGTAGTGAGAGCATGCGTTACCGCAGCGGCGGCGGTGTCCGGGACATCTTAGGGGTTTAGTCCCGGCGATGGCAGGAGTTTCGCCACATTGATAAATAGCTGGATAGAGTTCAACTGCTTTCGTGAGAACAATTTTAGCAGCTATTTGCTTTGATCGAACGTTTCACATGATATCTCCGATCAATATCAGACAAATTCAGGGGAAGTACCCTTGCAAATAGGCCGTGTATCGCGTGCGATCCTTCCTTCTTCAACCTTCTCTCTTCTCTCCCCCATTCTCTCTCTCCCTTTCTCTGTCTCTCATACATACAGACACATGTAGGCGCACACGCACGCACGCACAGTCTTGCAATTACATGCACTACTCTACCCCACGCGTCAGGAGCTTAGAGCTTATCCCGGCTCAGGCGATTCCCCGCTGGGTGAGATCCATATGTGACGTCATGGATACTCACAGCGACCACAGACACAGAGCTTTCGTATAACAAATATATTTATTAACAAGAAAACAAAACAAATATATACACTTAATAATCTACTTAAACCCTAGCTCTGATAGACCTACTATCCCCTGATCGCGGGAGCGATCCAAAACCCGATTGAAGATGGTTTTGATTGTGGCATTCGCCACTCCTACTTTTGAAGCGCGCACAAAGCCTAGCTTCCGTGACCGGATGTCACGCTGGGACACAAAGTCCGTTCTGGCGCACCAACGGCTGGCTTGCCTCGATCGCAGGAGCGATCTTATCCGATTGAGAATCGGCGTGAATCGTGGCACTCAACCACTCTTCACCTCGGAGCACGCACACAGCATCGCTCCCCCGTGACCGCAGTCACTCAAGGACATAAAGTCCGCAGGCTTCGTCAACTAATGACTCCAGCCTCGCGAGCCTGGCTCGCATATGCACCGTCTAGGCGCCAAGTTTTGTGCACACGCACGAGGTTCTCCCACCGTCTCCAGAACCTGCCTACTGGCTCCGTACACGCTGTTATATAGGCGAGGACCACGTGACCTCCTACGTCACGCCACCCCCTCGCTTGTTATAACAGTGAAAAGCTGCTATAAGCCGGAAGACACCCAAAGCCTTGTGTCTCCCGTCTCCGCGTTCTTCCCTTTACGGAAAAACCCTACTTCCTGTGGCTAGGCTAATCCGCTCCCAAGCGTCCCCAAATAGATGCCATGAGGCACGCTGGCTAATACGTTACACATAGCGGGGAACAGCTAGCAAGCCGACGTATAGATCGGAGCCGGATCTCTCGTTCCAGTTAGGAAGAAACACCTCCTCCTCCTGGGAATAGAATGCTCTTAACTCACGGCAAGAATGGCCAAAGAAGTTGGCGCGAAATACTCCCAATTAACAGATTAACACCAATTAACTCCCATTACGTACACCCAAGCGCTTCAATTATTTTTTTTTCATCCTGGGGCCTTTTTCAGCTTCAGGGTATGTCGATTTCGATTATACGTACCGGGTACCCTGATGGGGACACATATTAAGCTTTCTACACTAGACAAGCTTAGTGATCAGCCTCACAAGGCCTTCCGCGATAACACACGTACATGAAAGGCAAGGGACCAACAGCCATGCCCATGGCGGGACTGGAACCCGCGACCCTTCGGACCGAGGCGCCGAGTCGGCACACGCTCGAGCCACCCCGGCCGCCCAGGTCGTTTCGACGAGTGAACGCCGGCGAATGCGCCGTGTGGCGGCGCGCGCGCACCTGGTTGAAGCGGCGCTGCAGGGAGCCCTCGAGGATGTTGTTGCGCGTGGTGCCCACGTAGATGTTGCCGTCGTTGCGGCCCGGCCGCTGCGGGTAGATGCTGCGCACCCCGCCGGCGGGCTCCGGCAGCTGCGCAAGGCGGGCGACGCCCGGTCACCGACTGCGCTTCGCGAGGCAACACGCTGCTGCGCACACGCCCTTTGGCCCTTTGGCCTCTTAAGACATGCGGTTGCTGCGAATTGACTGCTACCAAAGAGGGACACTGCGGCAGCTAACCGTTGGCAATACAAATCCACTATCACTGCCTAAGAATTCCAGTAAGAAGTGATAGATTTACAAATATCTTTCCCTAGATGTGAAAGTAATGGCGGTGCCATTTTAATACATGTGGTCACTCTGAGAGCTACGCATGGGTTGATTATGTATATTAACTAGTTATTGCGGTAAGTGATTGGTGTTGCTATCTTCGCCGCTTGTTAAAACAAGAGCTCGTTCCCCCTCAAACGTAAATTCCTTTTCTTAATTTTGCAAGATTTCTGAGGAACGTATTCCAAATTTTACTTCCTAGCTTGTTTTGTCACATAAGAAACAAACCTGCACGTTCAACCTTACTAATGTCACGGTACGTCGTTACATATAAACTACTTGGAAGCTGCGAGCAAGCTGAAAATAACTTGAAATTTGAAACAAGACAGTTCAGCACAATTCATTTTCTTTCTTTAGCGTTGATGACTCGTTTTCTAAGTATGTTTCAATGACAGCAATTGTAAATCCTATTTTAGGTAGTCACCTAACAAAACCACGCGGAAAAGAATGCGAAACGTAACTACTAGATGAGGGACAGCCACACGTACTTTGGTTTCGGTGATCTTTTTGTAGTTCTGCAGCGAGTCCCAGGCGATGATCTTGCGATCCTTCTCCCCGCCCGAGAGCAGCGTGCCCTCAGACAGCATGATGAGCGAGCTGATGCCCTTGGTGTGAGCCTGTTAAGTGACGCATAATAGCCCATTAAGATCGTGGGCGTTTCAAACAGGCGGGTCCAGGCGCGCGGTACAACAATTCTAATACACGTGCACATTTCAAGGTGTCGAAAGGGCCGGAGAGAGAGACTTACCTCGAATTCGAGACGTACGAAATAAGCCCCGTCGCTGTCCACGGAGTAGATGGTGATGAAGCCGTCGCCGTCGGCTGTCACCACGTCACCGTCCATTTCGAACTGAATGCTTGTGATGTTTGTGCGCGTCGGCTGCGAGAATAGAAAGGAACGCTACCATTATATTTGCGTTGCACACGAGAGAGCTGTTTTACCACCTCCGCCAAATGTAGGTCGCATTCTGATTGATTTTTACCCTTTGGAGATAGAGTTGTCTTATGAAACGATCAGTATTTTTTTAAATAGTATATTTGTTCTGAGCACATTAGGTGAGAGGTATAAACGTAAAATGGATAATGGAATAGTAAGTTTACTTATTTACATCTTTATACTTTATTTTAAGACATCGTCAGTGAAGAGACGAAGACGAACATTAAACAGTTCAGCCAACAGTACTGTATTTTTTTGGAATCGACGTTCATATAAAATTCACAATAATGTTTGTGTATGTCTACTCCTACACAGTTACAACTTCGGCAAGTTGTAATTAGACTCCCTTTATTTTACTGCCGTTTTATTTAGCATTCTGAAGCTACTGCAGTAACCTTGTCAACAAAAAGAAAGTCGGGGAAAATACCCTCATGTTTTTTGAAGTGAATGTACGAATGAAATTTCGTATTTCGAAATGAGCACATGAACGATACCTTCGCACGAGTTTAAGTACTTTGTCTTTAAGTTTATCATCTCGCAAGTGTTTTCATTAAGCGGGGCGGCAGCTGTCTTGATTATTTCGCCCCAGTGTTTCGTTAACTCTGCAGTACCCAACTTTTCATACGGACGTGACTTCTTTACCGTGCGCGTACCGCACAGTACCGCTTTTCAATCAATGAAGATTGAAAAGCACTAGGTTCCACGCGTTATTGCTAAAAAATTAACATATTTTTTCAGCATCATTTTTCAATTACATTTTCTGGGAGTTTCAGGAAAAGAGGAAAGAACTTTTTTGAGAGACTGGTACGCTAGAAGGTCATTCTGCACCAGATCATCTTGTAAGTTATCATTTCCGCGTTACTCCAAATCATTATTTATTTCATCCTTTTCTTTTTTATCAGAGAAAGCGAGTTATTTTATATCCTTCCTGATTTTGTTACTACTAATATCTGATTTTAAATATCTCTTTGTAAATGTACTACTTGCTGTAGTGTTACTTAGATGCAAAACTCTTATTAATACATATCGTTGAATAGATGTGATTTATCTGCCATGACTCATTGTTTTTTACTATGACTTCTATTTTTACTATGGCAAGGGCGAAAAAATCCTTCGTACGCCTTCCTTCGTAGAGGAAGTAAAGCCGGCTGTCCCATGTTAGTAGATTTACTAGCATGTAAAAGATTCTCAAGCTTAAATAACTTCTCTGAGTTAAATTCAAATCGCCACTAATTGGTGAAAGAAGCGTAGCGAAATTTGCGTGGTCAGGCGGAAGAGCGGGCCTGATGGCTCGAGTCTCGCCACGTAAAATAAGCCATCAATTCAATTCAATTCAATTCAAATGGAGTTGACTGCGTGCGGGCGGGGACTCACGGGCTTGATGATGTCGGTGCGCTCGAAGAAGCCGTCCTTGCGCCGCGTCCAGAAGGTGAGGTGGCCCTTGCCGTGCGTGATGAGCAGGTTGTCGTCCAGCGGGTGGAACACGGCGCCCGTCAGCTCGTCCTGCAGCGTCTGCAACCGGAAACCACACGTCTTTAAATCTAATATATTTCTGCCCACGAAAAGGGCAACGAGATCTGCGGAACGGTGTGTATAGATGTATTTTACGTGTTTTTAGTTGAAGAAAGGAAAAAGAAAGAAAACAAAGGAAACTGAAATGGCTTTTGAATTATGAAAAACAAACTACTCTGGTCAATAATTGTAGAGTGAAATTCTCAAGGGTGTTAAGTGATAAGACATTGCTTTTGAGTTATAAGCAATTTTTTAAATTTATTAAGTATTTTCTTTGATTCTTATGCAATGAACTATGTGAAACTGAAATATTCTTACTGGACTATTTACCATATTAAGTATATGATAAAATCATTGGGCTGAAAAAGAATATAAATCAATATTTAAATGTGAAATTGGGAAAGGTGGTAAACTCGTATATTGATAAAAAAATGTTATGTCACAGTTCTCACAAAAAACTACTTTTCTCATAATAAAACGAGCAATATCTCTAACACACCATACCTGGCGGTAAACATAATCAGTGTGAAACTTGAAAATATATCACCATTGTTCTCTACAGAGTTCAATAAAGAATGACTTTGCGTCTTCTGAACGATAGTCCAAAAGTGATCTTTCGTTTTTCTAGGGTCTGTTTTGCAGGTAGGTACACTTTGGATTGGAGGATTTGGTATTGTCTTAAAGCACCTTTCTGAAGAAAAAAATTAATCTCTTGTAAATTGGTGCTTATCACCTTTGAGAATTCCACCCGACAATAGTTCATTTTGTTCGAAAAACGTCATTATATCTTGAGGATAAAATTGGTCGTAGGATGGTTGGCATCCTTGCCATCGTCCTCCGGGCGTGAGGCTTTTATCAGCTGTCATGGCAGAAGTTCCCTGCGGCTGATAGAACTTTCTTCGAAGTAAAAACCACCACAACAATGTGCACAGATAAAACGTATTTTTAGTGTTTGTTTCGTCACAGATGTATTCATAACCAGTGGTTCACTGTCGTCACTCGAGGCAATCATGATCAGGGCTCGGATTCTGATGACCTAAAAATTCTTTAAAACTGACCCATAAAATGTCTAAAAATACAAGGAAAATGACCTGTAAAATGAATTAAAAATAAAGGGAAATTGACCTAATTTTCTAAAGTATAATAAAAAATGTGTATGAAAATGATAATTTATTAAATGAATTTTACAATTTTAAGTAAACTTTATTTATCTAAAACTATATTTCATGTAAATTATCCATTTTAGAAGATAATGTTTTCCTTAGCCCCATCTTTCAACGGTTATGTTTGAAAGATCGAGGAAGTTACCGAAGATCCGCGTAATTTTGAGAGTTGAAAGACCACTGTAGTAGTTAATTTCGTCATGAACTTGTGATAAGATAAACAAATGTTAGCGTGTCATTGTAAATTCATAAACCATTCGCTAACAAAACACACGAAAAATAAATAAAATGCGTACAAATGACGAAAATTACCCAAAGGACAAAAAAATACCCAAAAACTGAAAAATGACCTAATAGCTATACATTTCTATCACATGTATGTCGCAATAAACATTCATTTACAATTACGTACGTCTAGAATGAACCAGTAAAAATATGACGTATCAGAATCGGAGCCCTGGTAATGATGATGTCACCACATTTTAATTGTTCACCTCACTGATGTCGTCTATTAAAAAATTAGCGATATTTTCATTGTCGTTTTTAACGAATTTCTTCACACTACTCGTTTAAAATCTAAAAAATTAAGAATATTATGAATACCAGTATTTGATTTTCAAGTAAATATAAATCCTAATTACAAGGTGTAAAATTACAACGTTGGTCAAAATTAGTCACCCATTAGTGGAATTTGGGAAATAAATAACAAGTTTAATGTTGTTAATAACCACGCAGAGCATTATTGTCAAAACAGATACAGAAGAAATGGCAAATTGTTGTAATTAGAACGAACATAGGGCAGTATTGTTACTTTATATATTGGTTATGTTATAGTTTTAAACACTAATAATTTCAATATAATTGAGGTTTCTAAATTAACAATGAAAATACAAACTTATGTTCAGTTCTGAAGTTATTTATTGAACTTGATAAAATACTCAACAATATAATTATTGAAGTTGAAATCATATTTTTACGCTTCTCCTATTATGAAGATAGGAAATCTTGCAAAAAATAGATGTGATTTTGAAGGAAATGAAAGTTTTTGAGATCCCTAATGAATTGAGTAATTTAATTTTCAGGGGTAGTATATAAGAAAATCGTATAAAATTTTAAAATATTTTAAACAATTTTAAAATATTTTAAACA